GATTCAATGATTCGGAGTGCTTCGGTTTCATTCTTGTTCCCAATATAGCCCTCGGCTCGGTTGTCCACAATGGCTTGACAAGATGCGTTCAAGCCATTGTAGAATGTGTCAATTTGAAGGTCTAGGGGAATGCGGTGATGTGGGCATTCCCTTAGCAATGATTTGAAACGCCGCCATGCATCTTGAAAGAGCTCACCATTTTGTTGTTTGAAATTGAAAATGCGTTGTCTAAGCTCTTGAGTCATGGTGGGCGTATAGTATTTAGACATGAAGGCATTGTATATACCTTCCCATGTAGTGTAGCTTGCCGGGGCCTGTTCTAGGAACCATCCTCTTGCTGCCCCTTTGAGAGTATAGGGGAAGCATTTGAGCTTGAGATCATCTTCGGCTAGCTTGTTCCTTGGAATCCCTTGGATGAACCCATAGAACTCCGTGATAAAGTTCAATGGATTCTCCCCCAATTGACCATGAAACTGAGGCATAGCATTGAAGTAGCTTTGCTTTAGTTCATAGTCCCTCGCATCTTCGCTTAGCACAATGCAAGAGGGGGAGGTTGCAACAACGGGCCTCTTCCGTTCGTTGAGTGTGGGCATCATCTTTGTGGCTTTTTGCTCCTTCCGAATGTGTTTGCAAGTTTTTTCTATTTCAAGATCAAGTGGTTCAAGAAATTTAGAACCTCGACTTCTCAAATGCATGCAAACACAAAGGAATATCTACACACACACAAAAATAAACCCTTCCAAGATCAAGTGAAGTTGTGAAAAATAAATAAATAAAATAAATTCAGGATTTTTGATTGTTTGGACTTTATTAAACAAGACCGTTTCCCCGGCAACGGCGCCAAAAACTTGACCGGTTTGAACTTGCAAGTGTACAAGTGCCGATATAGTAATAAATTCCGGTAAAATACCGGGTCGAATCTGTGACACCGCACCCGGATGTACTTGAATTTGAAACTTAAAATGTACTTGAACTTCCTAGCGAATAAATTTCGTGTGATTGATTGATACATTTAATTAATGTGAAATTAATTAAATTAGTTATCGGGTCCATATTATTGAGAATGGGCTACCAAATATTTAGTTGGGTTATCGTAATAATTCTAAGAGCCCAATAAAGTGCCAACCAAAGTTGACGATAATATTTGGACAACCCGAGTATTATGTTGGCCCAACCTGTCAAAAATAGCAAGAATAATTGGGAGAAACTTCTTACACCCAATTGGGATATTTCTTACATGAGTTGTACACTCCAAATAGTGGAGTTGATGCTAAACATAGGGGGAGGGGCGGACAAGACATAGGAAGTCTCATTGAGACAAAAGTCACACCCCCCATGACCCATTTCCACTTCATAATTGGGAGGGATTGAGATGAAATGTCTCCCTATCATTTCCTCATCCGCACACCACAAACAAAGAGAGTAAGAGAGGTGAGAGAGCTCTGGGAGGAAGCCTTTCACAAAGCTCAAGCTTGAGGAAAACATCAACAAAGGGAAATCCAAGAAGAAGAGAGCTAGAAGTGAGGTAACAACCATTAACTAGTATTATTTTGTATGATTTTTTAAGAAATCATATGGTGTATTAAACATGGAGTTCTACACGTTTAAAAGTGTAGAATAATGTTATAAAGTGGTGGTATTTAACTTAGAAGAGTCGTGGAATCGATAGGAGTTGAAACCACCGGAAACCGCCACTTGAAGGGAGCTGTTCGTAGTTGCAGACCACGAAAGCCGCCCAGCTTTCGTGAAAGCCGCCCGGCTTTCACCATTCTGCCCAGAAGTTTGCTTTTGATCGGTTTAGAACGAGGGTTGATCGGAGGGCTTAACGAGGACAACTATTTCAGCACTTCATAAGGTGAGGATGGCTGACTATATTGCTTATAATCTTTGGGTTAATTTCGTAGGATTACCTAAAGTAAATAAATGTGATTTTCATGGATTATTAATGATTAATAATGCCTAAATGAAAATATTGTTGTCAATGAATAAAGGAGCATAATATACAAATTTAAGGATAAATTGTGTATGATTATGTAATATGAGCATATTGGCTTGATGAAGGGATTAATTACAAATAATGTGTTGAAATATAACTATAACTTCATATAAGGATATATGAGTGATTAAAGGTTATATTTTGTATATTGATATGAACTATATTTTCAATGGAAAATTAGTTTGGAAATTGTCTATATGACTATGAGTTGAAAATGAGTTTTGTTGGAATTTATCCGACTAGTATTATGATACTAGTCGGGGTTTTGGAATGAAATATATTAGAATTGATCCAAGGTTTGGATTGTAAATTGTTGAGCCTTAAGTAGTCTTAAGAGATACTAAGGTGGATAAGTGATGCTAGGGGTAGTCCTTAAGGGATACCCAAGATAAAGTGAATAATAAATTGATCCTAGGAATAGGATTGGCCTACGGGTGTATTCGGTAGTCTTTAAGGATTAGCCGATAGAGTATTGGAAATTAGTAAGGACCATGGCCCTTCCCGACTCTAGAGAGCGGGGTTGGATAGCATGGACTTACATCGTGATCACGGGTTAGGGTGGAATCCGAACCGGAGACCTTACGAGGCTCCCGACAGCGGTAACACATAAGATAGGACCCCGAATGGACCTTACCTTCCTACGGGACGATGGGTATGAGTTCAGGGGCGGGATGTTGGACTCCGGCCCGGGGACCCGGTGAGGCCTCGGAGAGCGGTGACAAGTCTCGTAAAGGATGATAAGACCTACGGGCGGTGTCGTGCTAACGACGGGTATAATGAAATATATGAAATGGGCCGTGTGCCGACAAATAAATAAATTTACTATTTTATAGAGATAATAAGTGGGAAATATAAATTATTATTTATATTATGATATCACCCTATTTTGAGGGTCTTAGAAATTGAAACATTGATTATACTTGGTATAGTTGTCATTGTACTTGTCAAATGCTTCCAAGTACTGACCTCCCCTTCACGGGGGAGGCCACCTCACAGTTTCAGGTAGGGAGTAGAGCTTGCTACCAGTGCCCGTTGCCTCGGGAAGATCTAGGAAGGAAGGCGTGGTTCGTGCTTCCTCCGTCTCTATTTTAAAAACATTTCAATTAATGCTCATGGATATTTTTGAATGATTATTGGGGCTTGTATGCCCATGTTTGCCGGAGTGTGGCATAAACACTTGTATTAAACGTTTCCGCTGATTTCAATTGATTATTTTACATTATGTTTGTTTATGGATGTACTATTGTGAATGATATTCAAGACGCCTAGTATAGTATGGATGAGTTGGACTGCGGTTGACTATTCGTACTGTACGGCGGGTTGTTGACGTGTCCGGTAGGTCCGGGGCGTGACAATTAAGTTGGTATCAGAGCCTTAGTCCGTAAACTTCATAATGAAGCTTCGAAATTCTTTTGAAAATGATTTTGAAAACCATGAGCATAAAGTTTTGTACTTGTAGAACTTTTGGTACTTGAGTTGCAAGGTCTCTAATTGTTAAGATGGTACCCTTAACAATTGGTATGGCGGTGATTTGAGCCAAAAGATGTCTTTAAGTACCTATCCGTCACTTGACAATTGATACGAGTCTAATGGCTCATTCTAAACTTCTTTCAGAAATGGAGCCAATTGGAAGAATCACTAGGAGGAACCCGACGGGCCGTGTACCGGGTGGATCCGAACGCGGCAGCCGGGGGTCCACTAGGGTGTCAAGGGGAAGGGGCCGTGGAGGCCAACAACAAACCGTGAGCGACGGTCACGTTGACACGGAGAGTGAGACTTATTGGTCCTATGAGGACTCAACCTATAGGCCGGAAACCGAGCCGGTGGAGACCCCTTATGAAGGGGATGATGATGATGTTAGTGACGAGGAGCAAGATGGCTCCTTGGCAAGAATTGAGGCGCTGCTCCAACAATACCACCGAGAGCGCGAGGAGAGGAGGGAACGCCGAAGGCGCCGGGTGGGGCAACCTTCGGGTATGGCTTCAAGAGGAGGAAGCCACAATGCATCTAGAGTCCATGTGGAACCACATGGAGGCCGAAATGATGGAGGTCCAACCATAAGGATCTCCAAATTTATCAAAGAAGCAAGAGACTTGGGGTGCAAACCCTTTGACGGGACCGGAGACATTTCGGTTGCCGCCCAATGGATCAAGAGGTTGAATGAAGCAGCCCTTGACATGCAAATCACGCCCAACCTTAAACTGAGAATCGCGGTAAGGTTGTGATAAGTCCATTTTCGTACTTATTTTTCTTATCAAATTTAAGCGATTTTTGAATGAAAATAGAAAGAAAAGACACATTTTATATATTTCGGTTCAAGTTTCATGAAATCAGGTAAAAATCACATCCATAATATGTTTGGCGGGATTTCGGGTCAATTGAGCACAAAATGAGTCAATTTGAGTGACAAATGCATTTATACCGGAAGAAGCAAGCATTTTATCAAGGTGATTCAGAAGACAAAGTTGAAGAGCAAGAAAAGCCGCATCTGCCAGACAAAAGTAGCCGAAGGCGCCCAAATAGGCGCCCAAAATGAAGGCCTCCGCGGCCGCCTACGGTATTTTTGGAAAGTCAAACTTTGACTTTGACCGGATTCGGAAAAGACCGTAGGCGGCCGACACTGGACGGAAGGCGGCCGCCTACGGTGACCGCCTGCGGCAGAAGACGACGAAGCAACCGCCGGCCGGTGGGATTTGACGGCAGGCGGCCAGACAGGAACGGCAGGCGGCCGCCTGCTGGACCGCCTGCGGCGGCCGGGATCCGCCGGGATCCGCCGCGATCCGATTTGACAATGAAAAGACGGCAGGCGGCCGATGTGTGACGGAAGGCGGCCGCCCTCTGTGGCCGCCTACGGCTGACGGGGACCGGCCACCGACCGCTGTCGGCGACGAAGACGGCAGGCGGCCGGAGAGAGGCGGAAGGCGGCCGCCTGGTTGGCCGCCTTCGGGAAAATTTCTCCTATAAATAGCCCGATTTTTCCTCAACTCAAACACACCTCTTCCAACCCTAAATCAGTTCAAAACACCTTCTTTCTTCCTCCATTTTCGAGCTCCAAAGGTTTTAGAGAGAGAGAAACTTCAAATCTTCATATCTTCTTCATTTTAGCTCCAAATTGTAAGTTCTTTATATTTATTTTCATCTTCTCAATGTGTAGAATCTGAATCTGTGCTTTGTTTCTTCGATCTGTTCTTCGAAAATTTCCAGATTATTTTTCAAGTATTTCGCATTTCCTTCCAAAAATTAAATAAAATAGTTATTGTTGTTGAATTCATTCCAATTAATTATATAGTTGTTCACTAGCCTCAAGGTAGTTATTTATCTTAAGAAATTAATTTTTCACGAACCAGAAGTAATTTTTAATTAATTTTGATGATTATTTGATATTAGTTCATAATTTAGATTAAATACTAGAAAAGAAAGAAAAAAATGAGTTCGGCCCTATTTACAGTTTAGTTAACTTAAATATCATTACTAGTAGTTAATATAAAATTTGGTACGAATTTAGAGTATTTTTTATTAATTTTCGGTAATTGCCTTATATTATTGCTTAAATCAAAATAAATACTAAAAAAGGAAAAAAAAATTAGTTCGGACCTGATTACAGTTTATTCACAGTTATATACCTCCCAGTAGCTAAAAATAAAATTTATAACGAAGTTAGCATATTTTTAGTTGCTTTTTGCATTTTCTAGTTAAAATTGGGAAAGTTATCAATTAGTTGTTAAAATTGGATTTTAGTTTCAAAAATTCGTAAAAAATTACAGAAAGTTGTATTTTAGTTCCTACAAGTTTATTGTTCCAGAATATAATTTTTGTTTAATTTTTGCTATCATACATGTTTAATTCCTTGTTAATGTTGAATTTAATTATTATATCGTTAATTGTAAAAATGATAATGAGTAGCTAAATTTGTTAGGGCATGAATTGAGTAAAGGAATATGGATTGACTTGTTGACCTAAAATTAGGGGGTAAAATTAATAAATTGGACTAGTTGTTTAAAATGATGAAATAGTAATTAATAATAGTTAGCCATTTTCATTAATTAAATTCTTGGAAAATTAATTCTAACTTGTCTATGAGATTAGAAATTAATTTAAGCCAACCATATTTGAGCACATTAATAAGGCCTAGAAATAGGATAATTTAATGAAAAGGATTTACATCTTGTCTATGAGAAATAAATTCAATTGCTAAAATAAAGAGTTTAACTAGTTAATGAATTTGGCTATTTTTATTAATTAAAATATTGGAAAATTATTTCTACCTTGTCTATGGGTTTAGAATATAATTTAAGCCAACCATTTTAAACACATTAATGATACCTAGAAATAGGATAAATTAATGAAGATAGTTTCTATTCTTGTCTATGAGGAAAGAAATTATTAGTCCAACTTTAGTCTTAATTTCCCTAATTAAGAGGTCCAAGAACATATCCATTTCTAATTACTCAATTCATTGCCCTTATTTGCATCCTTGAATAATCAGTCTTTATACATTAATCTTTAAATTGCACCTTGCTCCTAGTTATAATTTAGCATAATAAAGAACAAAAACACTTTCCTATATTGAAAAGGCTTCCAACGATTAGCGATAGCCCGTGACTAAAATTAAATTAAGAAACTTCTCCGCCATTCCTCAAGAGACACGACACTCGGGGAAAAACCGAAAGGTTAGACTCCGTTTTACTACAACGCCGCGAAAGCGGTTATCAAATGGCGCCGTTGCCGGGGAATGGCACGATTATTTCTTGATTTAATTCTAGCATAGGTGAATTCTAGTTAGGGAGACTTTTTCGCCCTTGCGACAATTTGTATAAAGATTTCAGGATAAATGAATGCACACCCACTCTAAAGGAGTGGAAGGTCTAATTGAACTTGATCCTGAACCTGAACGAACTTTGTGGAAAAATCTTTCAATCCACAAGAAACCAAGCATGGCGGGAGAAAGGACGGTGTTGCAAAATCTTACGCCAAACTTCATCGAGGATGATAGTATCAGCGCACCGGCAATCGAGGCAGCCAATTTCGAGATCAAACCCGCCATTGTCAACATGATGTCCAACCATCAATTTGGCGGGTCCAAGCAAGATGACCCTAGGGCCCACATGTTGTGGTTCACCCGAGCATGCCAAACGTTCCGCTTTAACGGAGTGACCTCCGACGCCGCAAAGTTGACCCTATTTCCCTTCTCATTACGGGATAGGGCATCTTTGTGGCTGAATAGCTTTCCAACGGGTCACTTCACAACATGGGCGGCACTGCACCAAGCATTCATGCAAGAATACTTTCCTCCATCGGCAGTTGCTAAAATTAAAACAGCAATCCAGAACTTTAGGCAATTCCCGATGGAGTCCTTAAGTGAAGCATGGGATCGTTTCAAGGATATGAGAAACAAATGTCCACTCACACTGATGGATTCTAGTAGCTTGATGTTCCATTTTTACAATGGACTTCAAGTTAGTAGCAAAAAAGAACTTGATTTCTCTTCTCAGGTGGGATCATTCCTTGACATGGCACCCAACACCAACGAAGCTCTGGTGGAGAAGGTCACTTCAAATGCAAGATACTGGTATGACGAAAGAACTCCAGCAGCAACAAAACCAGGCTATCTTGAAGTTGACCAACTCACGGCCTTAACAGCAAAGATTGAAGGGTTGGTCGTGGAAGTAAAGAATCTGAAGAATGAAAACAATCACACCAACCAAGTCAACAACATCGGTGCTGTCCCGAATCAACAATCATCCCGATACTTCGGGAACTCAAGCTCTGCTCCACAGTCATCTCAATTTAATACTTTTTCACCTGTTTCTCATTCAACTGAACTTGTACTCTCATGTGAGATATGTTTTGGTCCACATTTGACCAACTCGTGTCAATTAGTCGATGAATGTAATGTAAACAACAACAGGGAAGTGAACATGCTGGAGTACGGCCGAACAAAACAAGAAGGGCCATGGGCGAATCAGGGCAACAGGGGGGGTAACTCCAACTACCCTCCTCAGAATTTCCAAGGAAGGAATTACCAAGGTAACCAATGGCGGGGGGATTACAACAATGGTCCTCCTCGCGGCGGTTATCAAGGTAATCAAAACTACCCCAACAATAATCAAGGGAACAACTTCCAGAGTCGGAACCAGGGAGGTGCACCAGCCCAACAGAACAACCAAGCTTATGTGCCTCCACACCAACGACAAACGGAGGCTGCCCAGCCATCAGAGATAGGCTTGTTGGTAGCAGAACTGGCAAGGACACGGGAGGAAATAACAAGATACAAGGCCAGCACTGACAATCAGATCAAAAATCTGATGATGCAAATTAATCAGAACAATGTTCCTGGTCGTCAGCCAGGCAACTTGCCTAGCACCACGGAACCAAACCCCCGTGAACATGTGCAAGCCATCACTCTCCGAAGCGGGAGACAAACAACTGTGGCTGAGCAGAAAGACAAGGAAGAGGAAGGTACCCCGACCATGGAACCTGAGAAACAAACTGATGCTCCAACTGAGAAGAGCATGGAACCAACACGCCCTAACACAAGGGTCACTATCGTCAAACCTTCTCTCCCGTTTCCTTCACGGGTTAGAAATGATGACGATAGCAGGAAGTACAACAAATTCCTGGACCTACTCAAACAACTCCACGTCAACCTGCCGCTGATGGATGCCCTAGCGGAGATGCCCAAATATGCCAAGTTCTTCAAGGACTTGCTGACGAACAAGAGGCAGCTGCAGGAACTCTCAGTCGTGGACTTGAACGCGGAATGCTCGGCCGTGGTTCTAAGGTCAATACCCGAAAAGCTAAAGGATCCAGGTAGTTTCGCTATCCCTTGCTCTATAGACAATTTCAATTTCAATAATGCTCTAGCTGACTTAGGGGCAAGTATCAATCTGATGCCTTCCTCTATAGTCGAAAAGCTAGGACTCGGGGAAATGAAACCCACTAGGATGTGTCTTCAACTGGCTGATCGCTCAGTCAAATATCCGAAAGGAATTGTTGAAGACGTCTTGGTCAAGGTTGACAAATTCATTTTCCCAGTCGACTTTGTAGTAATGGACATGGAAGAGGATAGGGAAACACCTCTTATTCTGGGAAGGCCCTTTCTGGCTACCGCCAGGGCCTTGATTGATGTCACTGATGGCTCATTAACTCTAAGAGTCGGAGATGATCTTTGCACCTTCCGACTCTCAGATGTTATGAAACACCCCACAGATTCCTTTCAAGGATGTCATTTTCTTGATACCTTTGAGTCTATTGAAGGGTATCTGTTTGGGGAAGAAAATGGACATGTAACTGATGAAGCATGTCTGTTAAAAGAAGCCAACAGTGATGTGAGTGATGCATGTGAGAGTTGTGAGGATGCGCTGATTGATCAAGCTTCTAACGAAGTATTGACTGAGTTTGAGGGGGAGAAAAATGAACAAAACTTGAAAAACGACCACCCCCTCGAACTAAAGAAACTGCCCGACCACTTAGAATATGCATTCTTGGATGACGAAGGCAAATGCCCTGTCGTCATCGCCGCACACTTAAGTGAGGAACAAAGGGAGAAATTACTTGGAGTCCTTAAGACACACAAGCAAGCAATTGCTTGGAAACTTGAGGACATCAATGGAATTAGCCCCACCTTTTGTACCCACACCATCAAAATTGAGGAAGGGTTTAAACCAGTTGTCCAACCACAACGACGTTTAAACCCAAACATGATGGAAGTAGTGCGTGCCGAGATTGTCAAACTGCTGGATGCGGGTATCATTTACCCCATCTCTGATAGCCAGTGGGTAAGCCCTATTCATGTTGTCCCCAAAAAGGGGGGAATGACCGTCATGAAAAATGAAAAGGGCGAACTTCTACCCAGTCGAACTGTTACCGGGTGGCGAATGGTAATCGATTACCGCAAACTGAACGAAGCCACCCGGAAAGACCATTTTCCCCTTCCCTTCATCGATCAATTAATAGAGAGGTTGGCAGGCCATAGTCACTACTGTTTCCTGGATGGCATGAGTGGATACTTCCAAATCCATGTCAACCCGGAAGACCAAGACAAAACTACGTTTACATGCCCGTTTGGGACCTTTGCTTTTCGTAGGATGTCTTTTGGTCTCTGTAATGCCCCTGCCACCTTCATGAGGTGCATGATTGCCATTTTTGAAAAATACATTGGCCACTTCATGGAGGTATTCATGGATGACTTCTCTATTTTTGGGGAAACATTTGAAAAATGCCTTGAAAACCTGGAAAAAGTACTTATCCGCTGCAAGGAAACCCATTTAGCCCTAAGTTGGGAGAAATGTCACTTCCTTGTGAAAGAGGGTATAGTACTTGGACACAAAGTGTCAAGTAACGGGGTAGAGGTGGACCGTGCAAAAATTGAGACGATAGAGAAACTTCCTCCACCAACCACGGTAAAAGCCATCCGCAGCTTCTTAGGACACGCGGGCTTTTATCGTCGTTTTATAAAGGATTTCTCTAAAATCGCAAAACCTCTCACCCGGTTACTTGAAAAAGATGCGGTTTTTATATTCTCTGATGAATGTCACCATGCTTTCCAAGCACTTAAAACACAACTGATCAATGCTCCTGTGCTTGTGGCCCCGGATTGGAGTTTACCCTTTGAACTCATGTGTGACGCTAGTGACTTAGTAGTAGGGGCCATCCTTGGTCAAAGGAAGGACAAGAACTTCCACCCAATCTACTACGCTAGCAAAACTCTGTCAGGGCCACAACTCAACTACACTACCACTGAAAAAGAATTCCTTGCTATTGTTTGTGCTTTAGAGAAGTTTAGGACTTACATCATTCTTTCGAAGGTTATTATCTATACCGACCATTCGGCCATTAGATATCTCCTCCAAAAGCATGATGCTAAGCCTAGACTGTTACGCTGGGTTCTTTTGTTGCAGGAATTTGATATTGAAATCAGGGACCGAAAAGGGTCTGCTAATCAGGCAGCTGATCACCTCTCGAGGTTAGATGCCGAGTTAGCAGAAACTTTCGGAAAATGCGAAATTGAGGAGCTTTTTCCTGCTGAGAGATTGATGGCGATTTCCGCCAAGGAGCAAACACCGTGGTATGCCGACATTGCCAACTACCTTGTTGGTAAAGTCGAGCCTACCGAACTGACAAGGCACATGAAAAGGCGGTTCTTATCAGAAGCAAAGCACTATTTTTGGGATGATCCATATCTATTCCGAATTTGTGCTGACCAGGTGGTGAGAAGATGTGTTACTGAAGCTGAGGCAAGGGACATTCTGGAGCATTGTCACAGCGGTCCTACTGGGGGCCACTTTTCAGGGAATAGAACCGCAAGGCGGGTTTTGGACTGTGGGTACTTCTGGCCCACGATTTTTAAAGATGCTAATGTATTTGTTTCCTCTTGTGATAACTGTCAACGAATTGGGAACATTTCTGGGCGCAATGAGATGCCCCAACACTTTATCTTACCTTGTGAGGTATTTGATGTTTGGGGCATCGACTTTGTTGGACCTTTCCCAAGCTCAAGAGGAAACAAATACATTCTTGTGGCCATTGATTATGTTTCTAAATGGGTCGAAGCCCAGGCCTGTGTCACCAACGACTCTCGAGTAGTCGTGAATTTTCTGAAAAAGCTCTTTACCAGATTTGGTGTGCCCAGGGTTTTGATCAGCGATAGAGGGACTCATTTCCACAATGACCCAATGGCTAGGATTTTGGCCAAATATGGAGTCCAACATCGAAGCGGAGTAGCGTACCACCCCCAGACTCAGGGACAAGTGGAGAACGCTAACAGGGATTTGAAGTCCATTCTGGAGAAAACTGTTGCCCAGACCAGGAAAGACTGGTCAACTAAACTTGACGACGCTCTTTGGGCATTTCGGACTGCTTACAAAACCCCGATCGGAACCACACCTTTTCGCCTTGTATACGGGAAGTCTTGCCACTTACCCGTCGAACTCGAGCATAAAGCACTTTGGGCGATGAAAAATGTCTGTTTTAAACTGGATGCTGCAGGGAAGGAACGATTTTACCAGCTGAATGAACTGGAAGAGTGGAGAGCGCAAGCTTTTCATAATTCTAAACTTTACAAAGAACGGGCCAAACTCTACCATGATCAACACATCAAGGCTCGTGATTTCAATGCTGGAGATAAAGTGCTGTTATTCAACTCCCGGTTGAAGCTCTTTCCAGGAAAGCTTAAGTCAAGATGGTCCGGACCGTTCAAGGTCATAAAAGCTTACCCCTACGGAACCGTTGAGATTGAAGATGCTAATGGGGGTCCCTTTAAGGTCAACGGCCACCAACTTAAACTCTACCATGGCGGCCCGATTGAAAAAAGCAAGGAGATTCTCTATCTCCAAAAATTTTGAACCAAAGGAGGACATTCGTCAAGCTAGTGACGTTAAAGAAGCGCTCATTGGGAGGCAACCCAACAACCAAAAAAAAAAAAAAAAAAGAAAAAAAAAAAAAAAAAAAACTAACCCAAAAATATTTACTTTGTTTATTTCTTGCAGATGTCTGGAGGAAGACGTGACGATCCCATTTTCGAGGAGCCACCACTAGGACGGGAAGACCCGCCACCTCAGCCTGATATCCCATTTGCTACTATTGCTGATCGCAGACGCTTCCAGGCATGGGGGCAATACCGCACACTCCTTCCTCCCATGATCCTGGACCCGACGATGCTAGAGGAATGGGGGTACTGGGATGAGATTGATTCCCTGCTAGGAGACTCTTTATGGCGGAGGATTCTATTCGTTCAGGAGAGGGCCAGCCTTCCATTGACGATGGAGTTTCTGTGCTCCGTTCAGTTCACTCATTACGGACAGGCTGTGCAGGAGGGTGCTGTTATTGGGTCAGAGTCTCGGATGAGGTTTACTATTCTAGGCATGGAGCACTCCATAACTGTGGCTGAGCTCGGATGGAGGATGGGGCTCTATACCCCAGCATACACACAGACTGAGGAGTTCCGTGCTCTTCCGACCCGCTTACCCGAGGCATTTGACATTGATGAGTTCTGGCACAGACACTCCACAGACACCAGATCATTTCTCCGGATGCACCCCCATTCGAACAAATGGAGGGAGACTCACTGGTACATACTCTCGTTCGTACTTTCTTGTGGTTTTTTTGGACGACCTAACAACACAAACAGGTTGTCCAAAAAGGACATACTATTCTTTTGGAGTTTGATTCACCGCATCCCGGTGAATATGGCTGTCCTTATGGCTCGTTTCTTCCGGAGCCAGGGGAAGACTGTGCGGCGCACTATCCAGGCAGGGCCTTTCATCACTACTCTCGTTAGATCATTCTACCCAGATCTAGACATTCCGGGGCTACTGCACTTACAGGATAGCATCCGCGTTCTTCGATCCTCATCCTTTACCAACATGAGGATCAAGAAGAAGCGGAATACTCAGGAGCTCCCAGGTATTGAGCAGCCGACCCAGCAGGGTAGTTCTTCTCGACCCTCAGGACATGAGGGATCTAGCGAGCCCTTTTCAGACATGCCTAGCGCCGCAGATTGGAGAGCGATGATGGAGGGGATGCGGAGTCTCCAGACTTCAGTTGTTGAGATACGAGATGCACAGGAGAGAGGATTCCAGGAGATGCGAGATGCGCATGCGACGGCCCTAGGAGAGTTCAGAGACTTTCGATTAGCTCAGGAGAGAGCCACCCGGGATATGCAGGAGGAGTTAGAGACCCAGAGGCTAGATATTGATGAGATGAGAGACTGGCTTAGGCCACACTATGGCCCTCGGGATTACGCAGGCGATGCTTAGTTTTGCTTCTTCCTTGACATTTTTTTTTTTTGTGTTTGTTTGTTTCTTCAGGTTGGACATTGCGCTGCTCTTTTGACTTGAATGCTCTTACAAACTGACTATGGATGATGTAAGGATTTTAAAAAAACCATTTTACTCCTGTTTCATTATTCCTCTTCACAAAATCTTTTCAAAACTCAAGTGTGAGGAAAGAACCAAAAAAAAAAAAAAAATGTGCCTTTATTTCCCAATTTTGTGCCTCAAAAGAAGACCTCGAGGGCGAGGTCCAGCTCAAGTGTGAGGAGGTTGCGTTTTACACTCAAAAGTCAAAACCTTGTTTTAGAACAATCTTTTTACTATTTTTGATATGAAACATTAATTTCTCAATTTGTTATCAAATCATAAAATACTTTAGATAATCACCCTTATTATAAGAATTTACTTTTATTATTATTTTTGAAAACTTAAAATTGTTATGGGTTTTTGGTTGCGAATGTAAAGGTCCGAATTTGTTTTAATTGGACATTCATTTTATTCATTAAAAAAAAAAAAAAAACATGTTACTACTAATAAACCTCTTCAAAACTCATTGTTATAGGACAATTCCATCTCCGAAAAGGGGCTCTGTTTCATTCGTTAATCACAGTCTGTGAGAATGAAATATGCATTTACCATGGGATAACACCGCCAACAAGAGTGAAAAAGAGCAAAAAAAAAAAAATGGTGAACAAGATGAATGTCCAAATTAAAATAATGAAAACCTTGGGATAAGGAATTGATTGGTGGTTTAACATAATAAATAGTTTTTCTTAAGTAATACTAATTTTAAACTCTTGTATTTTGGGTGATTTTTCTAAAATGTTTAAAAATTGAGAATAAAAGATGAGGTTTTTGTTTCTACTTCTTTAAAATAGCAATTAGATTGTAATACAGTTAGGCTTACCTTTTGAGTGTGTTTACAACTAATTCGTCGCTTGAGGACAAGCAACGCTTAAGTGTGAGGAGATTGATAAGTCCATTTTCGTACTTATTTTTCTTATCAAATTTAAGCGATTTTTGAATGAAAATAGAAAGAAAAGACACATTTTATATATTTCGGTTCAAGTTTCATGAAATCAGGTAAAAATCACATCCATAATATGTTTAGCGGGATTTCGGGTCAATTGAGCACAAAATGAGTCAATTTGAGTGACAAATGCATTTATACCGGAAGAAGCAAGCATTTTATCAAGGTGATTCAGAAGACAAAGTTGAAGAGCAAGAAAAGCCGCATCTGCCAGACAAAAGTAGCCGAAGGCGCCCAAATAGGCGCCCAAAATGAAGGCCTCCGCGGCCGCCTACGGTATTTTTGGAAAGTCAAACTTTGACTTTGACCGGATTCGGAAAAGACCGTAGGCGGCCGACACTGGACGGAAGGCGGCCGCCTACGGTGACCGCCTGCGGCAGAAGACGACGAAGCAACCGCCGGCCGGTGGGATTTGACGGCAGGCGGCCAGACAGGAACGGCAGGCGGCCGCCTGCTGGACCGCCTGCGGCGGCCGGGATCCGCCGGGATCCGCCGCGATCCGATTTGACAATGAAAAGACGGCAGGCGGCCGATGTGTGACGGAAGGCGGCCGCCCTCTGTGGCCGCCTACGGCTGACGGGGACCGGCCACCGACCGGTGTCGGCGACGAAGACGGCAGGCGGCCGGAGAGAGGCGGAAGGCGGCCGCCTGGTTGGCCGCCTTCGGGAAAATTTCTCCTATAAATAGCCCGATTTTTCCTCAACTCAAACACACCTCTTCCAACCCTAAATCAGTTCAAAACACCTTCTTTCTTCCTCCATTTTCGAGCTCCAAAGGTTTTAGAGAGAGAGAAACTTCAAATCTTCATATCTTCTTCATTTTAGCTCCAAATTGTAAGTTCTTTATATGTATTTTCATCTTCTCAATGTGTAGAATCTGAATCTGTGCTTTGTTTCTTCGATCTGTTCTTCGAAAATTTCCAGATTATTTTTCAAGTATTTCGCATTTCCTTCCAAAAATTAAATAAAATAGTTATTGTTGTTGAATTCATTCCAATTAATTATATAGTTGTTCACTAGCCTCAAGGTAGTTATTTATCTTAAGAAATTAATTTTTCACGAACCAGAAGTAATTTTTAATTAATTTTGATGATTATTTGATATTAGTTCATAATTTAGATTAAATACTAGAAAAGAAAGAAAAAAATGAGTTCGGCCCTATTTACAGTTTAGTTAACTTAAATATCATTACTAGTAGTTAATATAAAATTTGGTACGAATTTAGAGTATTTTTTATTAATTTTCGGTAATTGCCTTATATTATTGCTTAAATCAAAATAAATACTAAAAAAGGAAAAAAAAATTAGTTCGGACCTGATTACAGTTTATTCACAGTTATATACCTCCCAGTAGCTAAAAATAAAATTTATAACGAAGTTAGCATATTTTTAGTTGCTTTTTGCATTTTCTAGTTAAAATTGGGAAAGTTATCAATTAGTTGTTAAAATTGGATTTTAGTTTCAAAAATTCGTAAAAAATTACAGAAAGTTGTATTTTAGTTCCTACAAGTTTATTGTTCCAGAATATAATTTTTGTTTAATTTTTGCTATCATACATGTTTAATTCCTTGTTAATGTTGAATTTAATTATTATATCGTTAATTGTAAAAATGATAATGAGTAGCTAAATTTGTTAGGGCATGAATTGAGTAAAGGAATATGGATTGACTTGTTGACCTAAAATTAGGGGGTAAAATTAATAAATTGGACTAGTTGTTTAAAATGATGAAATAGTAATTAATAATAGTTAGCCATTTTCATTAATTAAATTCTTGGAAAATTAATTCTAACTTGTCTATGAGATTAGAAATTAATTTAAGCCAACCATATTTGAGCACATTAATAAGGCCTAGAAATAGGATAATTTAATGAAAAGGATTTACATCTTGTCTATGAGAAATAAATTCAATTGCTAAAATAAAGAGTTTAACTAGTTAATGAATTTGGCTATTTTTATTAATTAAAATATTGGAAAATTATTTCTACCTTGTCTATGGGTTTAGAATATAATTTAAGCCAACCATTTTAAACACATTAATGATACCTAGAAATAGGATAAATTAATGAAGATAGTTTCTATTCTTGTCTATGAGGAAAGAAATTATTAGTCCAACTTTAGTCTTAATTTCCCTAATTAAGAGGTCCAAGAACATATCCATTTCTAATTACTCAATTCATTGCCCTTATTTGCATCCTTGAATAATCAGTCTTTATACATTAATCTTTAAATTGCACCTTGCTCCTAGTTATAATTTAGCATAATAAAGAACAAAAACACTTTCCTATATTGAAAAGGCTTCCAACGATTAGCGATAGCCCGTGACTAAAATTAAATTAAGAAACTTCTCCGCCATTCCTCAAGAGACACGACACTCGGGGAAAAACCGAAAGGTTAGACTCCGTTTTACTACAACGCCGCGAAAGCGGTTATCAGGTTGCTTGAAGGGATGGCGTCCAAATGGTGGGATGGGACCAAGACCAAGTATGGGGAGGATGTCGTTTGGGAGGACTTCCAACGGGAGTTCTTTGCCCAATATTATTCTGATTTTGAGGTGAACAAGAAGGTTAGGGAATACACCCTCCTAACCCAAGGGGGAAACATGACAGTGAAGGAACTTGAGTACAAGTTCCGGGATCTCGCCGACTACATACCGGAGTATGCTTGTGACGAGAACCGAATGGTGAACCACTTTTGGGACGCCCTTGACTTGGAAATACGTGATAGGGCAACACAATTGCCTAACATGACCTTCGCCCAAGTGGTAGACCAAGCCTTGAAGGGCGAGAAACAGTGGGAGGAGAGGAAGAAAAGGGACGCCGAGGAGGCGAAGAAGAGGAAATGGGAGAGCAATGGCCCCCAAGGTTCTAACAAGAAGGGGAACCACGGGGGAGGTGGCTCATTTAAGGCCCCTGCCCCACCATCGAGGGCGAATCAAGGCCCAAGCGGGCAAGCCTCGAGGTCTCAAAACTCGGGAGTACCAAGGTGCAGCAACTGCAAGAAGCTTCACCACGGCAAGTGTCGTGATCCCCCGAGATGCTACCAATGCGGGGAGGTCGGGCACATGAAGGTGAGTTGCCCACAGCTTGGGCGAGGTACAGGTTCCGGACCGAGTAGTGGGACCATGGTGAGCAGGAACCGAACGGGAGCACCAAGTGCAAGCATGGGGCACGGTGGAGCTAGCACAAGCAATGCACCGTCCGTTAATCAAGGGAGGACCCAAGCGAGGGTCTATGCGATTACGGAGGCCGATGCACGTGCTAACCCGGACTCCGTTGCGGGTAAATTCATGAACCTTTGATGTTAATTTCTTGTGAACCTTTTAAATGTTGAGATGTATAAGTTATATGGCCAACCCCGCCTGTTTAAAGTTCAAAGGAGTGGACAGATATCTGCCTGGGGCGAAAGCCGCCCGGCTTTGATGAACGTCGCCCGACGTTTGTCTATGGTTTATTACATAAATCCTACGGCGACCATAAGCCGCCCGACGTTGACGAAAGCCGCCCGGCTTTCGTGCTTGATTTTTGGTTAAATCATTCGGCGTATAAAAACCGGCCGCGTTTCGTAAAAACCGGCCGGCTTGTGTTCAGGAATTCCGGTATGGGGCGCTGCTAACGAAAACCGGCCGGCATTCGTAAGAACCGGCCGGCTTTTACAATTAAAAAGTTGGAATTCTTTCGGCGACCGAAAACCGGCCGGCTTTGGCAAAAACCGGCCGGCTTACGTAACCAGCCATTCCGGGCTGAAGGCCAAAGTACGAAAACCGGCCGGCTTTCATGAAAAGCGGCCGGCTTTCCCTCATTGGTACACGGTGTTGATTTTAGGTGGGAACCGGGATGGAATCGGGATGGGGCGTTAGCTGACGATCATCCAAACCATAGCCGGGGTACTCTATAACCTAAGAAATGAGTCTAATAAGTGGGGAGTGTGTCTTACATTGCTTATGAATGTAGGAACACTAAAGATTAACGGGAGAGACGCAAGAATCCTCATTGACACCGGGGCGCAACGATCATTCGTGAGTGAGGCGTTTGCCGGGGGATTCGAAGAACCACTTGTACCGATGGCTCAAGCCCTATTGGTATCCACACCTCTAGGGGAAGACATCGAGAGAGATAGCCACTATCCATCGTGTGAGGTGGAAGTGGAGGGCCAAAACTTGACGTGTGATTTCGTACCGCTGAGTATGATTGAATTCGATGCAATCCTGGGGATGGATTGGCTTGAGAAACATCATGCTAGGGTCGATTGCTACACAAAGATACTTGAACTCGAAGGCGATGAAGGGGTAACCTTACGCTTCGAGGGGGATCGGGCCAAATCCAATAGTTGTATCATATCCGCCGTAAGAGCTAGGAGTATGATGAGAAAGGGTTGCCACGCATATCTAGCATACGTGGTAGACAAAACAAAGGAAGAGACGAGCATTGATGATGTGAGGGTGGTATGCAAGTATCCGGATGTCTTTCCAAAGGACTTACCGGGACTTCCACCCGATAGGGAGATTGAATTTGTGATCGAGGTCGAGCCCGGCACCAAACCAATCTCCATACCGCCATACCGCATGGCACCCGCAGAACTTAACGAGTTGAAAACCCAATTGCAAGAGCTTTTGGATAACGGTTTCATTAGACCAAGTCACTCCCCGTGGGGAGCACCAGTCCTTTTTGTGAAGAAGAAGGATGGAACACTTCGAATGTGCATTGACTATCGTCAACTGAACAAGGTCACAATCAAGAATAGGTATCCTTTGCCTAGGATTGATGACTTGTTTGATCAACTACGAGGAGCAACCGTGTTTTCAAAGATTGACTTGAGGTCGGGGTACCATCAATTGAAGATCAAAGAGGATGACATACCGAAGAGTGCCTTCCGCACTAGGTATGGACATTTTGAGTTCCTTGTTATGTCGTTTGGGTTAACAAACGCCCCGGCGGCATTCATGGACTTGATGAACCGAGTATTCCATAAATACTTGGACCGATTCGTGATCGTGTTCATAGATGACATCTTGATCTACTCAAAGAGTGAGGAAGAACATGAGGAGCACTTGATACTCGTTCTTGAGACACTACGGGAGAAGCAACTCTATGCCAAATTTTCTAAATGTGAATTTTGGCTTAAGGAGATTGGCTTTCTCGGGCATGTGGTTTCGGGATCGGGAATTGCGGTTGATAACAAGAAAATAGAAGCCATTACCGAATGGGAGAGGCCAAAGAACGTCAAGGAAATTCGTAGTTTCCTTGGGTTGGCAGGCTACTACAGAAAGTTCGTGGAGAAGTTCTCCGTTTTGGCATCACCATTGACGAAGCTCACTCGTAAAGGAGCTAAGTTTGTATGGGATGACAAATGTGAGAAAGGTTTCATTGAACTAAAGAGGAGATTGACCGAGGCACCGGTACTCGCATTACCCAAGCAAGGTATGGGGTAC